TTTTCCAGATAGTTGGGTCTTCCTGGAATTAAAGTTTAGTCGTGTGTGCCTGAAGTGAGAACTTGATTGAAAAAATATATATCATTTTTTCCCCTTAAGTATGTTGTAATAGTGCTGTCAACGCTGCTAACATCGGATGTTTTTGCTTTGACAACATATGGAGATGAAACCATTTTCCTTCTTATGTTTTACTCTTAGAATTGGAGTTAGAATTAGATGATACTGGGGGGAGGAGGAGGAATGTGCATGGGAGTTTAGTTAGACATAACAATACTGTAACTAGTGTGAGAACCAAGGTTTTTGAAATAAGAGATGATAAGAATTGGTGGATTGGCGAACTGGAGGAAAAGTCTGCATTTCAAACTAATTGGGGAATGTGATTTATGACTGTAAATTAGAGGAGGGAATTGTGCTTTGATACTATGTACTCAGGGGAGGGGAATTCAGAGTTTGGCTTTGGCTATGTAAGTGCTGATGCTATGTTTCTCAAATAAAGATTCCTTAACCTCGAGATTCCTCGAAGTTCTTTGAAGAGTTTCATCTGTCAGAACCATGACAACTGCTTTACAAAATTACTGTGGACATACATTGTTTACAGCAATGGTGTTATCTGTAGTGGCCAGGTGCCCTATAATATACATGACACATTATTTATTTACAATCATTAACTACTTTTTCAAGGCTATTTTATTCTGGTTCTCTTTGAATCAAAGTCTCTTGATGGTATTCTTTTTGTCATTTTGCTGTGAATTAAACCTAAACTATTGTTAAGTTTTAGTTAATTATTTTAACTAACTAATTAATTAATTATTTCTTGATTATATTTGAAATGAGTTGCAATAGTGTTTTCTGCTGAAACGTTGTGTTAGTGATTATAATCCGGTCAGGCTCTAGGAAAAATTGATGTGACTGCATCACCAGTTGTTGCTGATTATTACCTATTTATTCTCAGGTTACTCATTATGCTTCCCTTAGAATATTTGTTTGTTTCTATCCCACCTTTACTATTTTTAAAAATAACTCAAGGTGGCAAACACACACAACAGTTCTTCCTCATCCTATTTTCCCAGCAACAACCCTGTGAGATGAGCTGGATTGAGAGAGAGAGAGCTAGTGGGCCATGAGGAGATTGCAACTGTGGCCAGTGAGCGCACACGCCCACATGCGCATCCTTACTTGCACGAGCAGGTGAACGCGTGTGCATGTGCTCCATTTGTTTGACCAGCAGGTGAACGCGTGTGCATGTGCTCCATTTGCTTGACCAGCAGGTGCACGTGCACGCCATTCAAGCAAATGGAGCTGTATGCACACATGCATGCTTGCCAGTCACTTGCCTGGCATCATCCCCTCCCCCTCCCTGCCATTCACAAAGCCAGAAACATTGGGGAACTCTTCTTTATAGCTAAGGCAGGACTTGAATTCATAGTCTCCCATTTTCTAGCCTGGTGCCCTAGCCATTACACCAAACTGGCTCTAGAAGAAACAAGAAGGTAGAATAAACAAGATCAATAAAAATAAAAAAGATCAAGAACAATAGAAGAAACAAGATCTGTACTAGGATTATTTTTTTCAATAAGCTGACAGTTTTGTCTCCATATTAGTAATAATGGCTACTTTGTTCCATTTCCATTGTCAGAAGTAAGTCTTGGATAAATAAGCAACATGGCGACTGCTTTGGGAAGAAGGTTACAGTTTATTGAAGAAGCAGAAAGATGATCCTTGCAAGAAAGAGCAGAGGAGAGGAAAGAGAGGTTGAGCACATGGGCAGTAGGTTTTTATACTCCCTCTAGCCTTTTGTTTGGAATAGTTTCCTGTTCCTGTGGCATGAACCTTGAGGCTATTTCTGAGTGTTTTTCTAGGCCTTGATATCTGTGGTTTAATCCTATTATCATATCCTGCTTCCCAGGTGATGGGGCTAATGACTCCTAGAGTTTGGGAGGGGGGGCATGCAGATTTTCTCTTTGTCTTCTTGAGTGCTCTGGCTTCAACTTTCTGATGGTTTTACATCTGCATTTGTATGGGGCTAGCTCTTGCTTGGGGCAGAGAGATAGATTTGGGGCCAGATTTGGTTTCTGCTTTTCAAAAAATACTTTTAAAAATCCTTTTGGTGAAAAATATATTTTCCTGCCCTTTTTAATATTTCCTTTTTTGGGCTAACTTCCCTCACCATCAATTTCAGACTCAAAAATGGAAAGAAAGAAAAAAACAGGTTGTTTATGCCATCCTTTTGTCTGCCTTTCAAATAGCAATAGTAATTGTACTTAAGCTTATATACTGCTTCATAGTGCTCTCTAAGCGGTTTACAGAGTCAGTATATGCCCCCCCCCTAAATCTGGGTCCTCATTTTACCGATCTCAGAAGGATGGAAGACTGAGTTCAATCTTGATCCGGTCAGGATTAAAGTCCTGGCAGTGGGCAGAGTTACAATGCAATAGGGATTGGCTTGTCTCTTGCCCTTTTCAGGATCATTTATCAATGTGTTTCATAATGATTTTCTTGTAGTTCTGACAAGGGCCAAAGAAATGTTAGCCCTTAACTTTAGCTTGAAAAACAGTGTTCATTAAATTTATATAAAAATACAATTTCCCAGTTTTCCCCATCTTGAGAAGTTGAGGGTCAATGACAATGAAAGAGCTCATGACAGAATTTCTGTAATTTTTAACCGAAAGCTTGTAGACTCCAACTATGCCTATAGGAATGTATAGATGTTTCTCACAGTTCTATCCATCAAAAAAGGACATCAAACAAGTCATAGATCATGGTGGTGGCCAATTGCCTTGAGGCCAAGACATCTACCAGACATGCTGCAGAGCTGGTTCTTTTGTCTATAGGGCCACCATGATGTTGCTTCCTACTTAGAAGCATGAGAATACGAGAATAACCTGTCTAATGTCTGGTGTCAGAATCAAGATATCCTTGATCTTGTTGAAATCTCATAGAGAATCTCTAAATATAGAATCTATTCTCCCTTTCAAAGGCACAGATGATTCCTTTAGATACTGTGTTAATGTGACCAGGAGTTCTTTCTACGCCGATGTTCTTCTCTGTCTCTGCAGTTTGAGAATCAAAGAATCATCAAGTCTGAGGCTTCTTTGGGTTTTTTGCTACAAATGATCTCGAAAAAAAATGTGTCAGGAAGTGAGAATCAGAGGACCCATAAAGTTTGAAGAGGCTAATTGTAGGCCATTGAGTGCAACAGCTTGTACAATGCAAGCATTTAAGGCGCTCCCAACCAGAGAGCTGTCAAATTTCTGTCTGAACACATCCAGTGAAGAACCGCTCACTACCTCCTCCGGTTTCTAGAGGAGGTCATGGCTGACTGCTGCAACCCAAACAATAAATACCTTTTACTGGCAGGGATATGTAAATTCCACATACCATATGTCTGGCAAAGGAATGATGGGACCAGAAGCCTTAAATCAATGGTGTAAAAAGTTCAATGGAAGACGACCGTTCCCTTGAGACTTATTAATTTTGGATTTGCATGCTGCTTACTGGACAATCATTGAAAGACAAGAGACCAAAGGCTTTTTCTCTGCATGGGCTGTCCAAACTGATGTGTGAGTGACACACTTTGGTGGTGATGGGGGCTGATCGTGGTAAACAACTTGCACGGGAGTTTCAGCAAGGGCTTAATGCTTATTCTGCATCCCTTCACTGGATGAAAGAGATTTGGTGGAGGGTGAAAAGCCAGGGGATCCCTGGACAGAATTGCTGTTTGGGCTTGCACTTTCTTTTCCCAAGGAGCAAAAAGCTGCAGTTTTCTGAAGCCCATCCAAGCAATTTTATAAATGAGAAGACGTACCCCCCCCCCCCAAAGAAAATCTGATTAGAATGCAAGGAACAAGAGCAGAGGCGATCAGGGCTCCAAGGAGCTGAGGAAAGGGGGCTGGGACATCTTTTATTTGGGGCAGGGGAAAGAAAGGGAGTTATCCACCGATGCAAATTCCTAGCTGGTCTGCCTTATTTTCAGTGCCACTCTGCTACCCGCCATCCACCTGCCAAGGCGCAGAGGACAAAAGAGGCTATTGAGGTCTGCAAGGAAGCAGGTGGTGGCAGGCCGTAGGCCAGTCGACCAAGGGGGCCGGGCCGTGTCCGGCCGCGTTTACCTTTCGAGCCACAGGAACCGGCCTGCTCCTCCAACAGGGGCGCGCAAGCGTGCGCCCACGAGTCTCGGCCCCGGCCGAGGTCACCGCTGCGGGCCCTTTGCAGGTTGCCGCGCTCAGGCGGCCTTGATATTCCAGATGCTGCCCCCTCTGCGCGCGCGGCTGCGCCTCCCTCCCGATTCTTCCAGGAGATACAAAAGCCCGAATTGCGGATTAGGCGCCCCCCTCCTCCTCCCCCCTTCGCTTTGACGTCACATGTGCTCCTTTCCGTTGCCATGGCAGCCCAGTTCCCCAAGCCCTCCGCCTGTCTCCTTTGGTAGCATCCACAAGGGGAGAGCCAGTATCGCGATGCCCGGTGCTCCCCCACCCCTCCCACCCCAGACAGTAAAAAAAGGGTGATTCAGCAAGCCACAAACCCATCCGTTCCCGCCACCCCCTTCCTCCGGTCTCCCCGCTTCTTCTTCTTCTTCCTTCTCATTTCAGGGCTGAGACCTTCTCCCCTCTCTCGTCCTTTCCTTTTGCGCGGCGGGGTTATTAATGGGCGCGCGTGCCCCCCTCCCTTACCTGCCGCCCCCCCCCCTCTCCCCGGTCGCCGCTCACCCATCACCTCCAGCCAGGAGGCCTCTGCTGCCACCTGCCTATCACCCGCCCGGCACCTCCCTCCGCCCCTCCGCGCGTAAGCTCTTCCCGCGCCTCTCCTCTCCCCCCCCCTCCTCTCCATCTCTTCTTTCTCTTCTCCCTCGCCCGGTTCCTTCCTCTGCTCGGAAATGAGGCTCCCAAAGACCAAGTGAGGTCGCGGCGCCTGTTTCGCGGGAGAGGAGGGCGGGAGGGGGTGGGCTGGGGAGGAAAGGTCGCTCGCAGCTCACAGGAAGGGCTAATCCTGGGAATGGGAGGTGAGGGGCGCGGGCGGCGAACGCGCGGGTTTCCCGCTGCCGCGCGCGCGCGCGCGCACACATACACACACGCTCTCCCAGACGCGCAGCAAAGCTCTGCCCCCCCTCCTCCTCCTCCCGCCCCATCGGGCACGCACACAAAGGCGAGGAGGCGGGGGGAATGAATATTGATTGCTGTTAAAAATAATAAAGGGGAGGAGGAGAGTGTGAGGGTGCGCGTGTATGTGTGTGTGTGTGTGTGAGCAAGCGAGCGGCCGGGGGAGGCAAGTGAATGAAACAAACTGGTGTCGGAGGCGGGAAGGCAGTAGCTGCGCTCCTGGCGAGGAGAGAGAGACAGAGAGACAGACAGACATCTTTGAGCTTGTTATTTGGGTTAGTATCTGCTTGTATCTTGGGGGCGGGGGTGTCGTTAAGGGACGGGAAGGTGCCCCGAAAAGACGGTCGTGAGCCTGTTTTGAACCTGCGGCGGTTGCGTTGGTGGCGGTAAGGGATGTAAACAGTGGAGTCCTTGGGGCTGCTGGTCTCCATCCTTTCTCCTCTGAACAGGAAGCCTTAATCATCACCTTCTTTTTTCCTTAAAAGATCTGACGGAGAGGTCTCTTATTTGAGTTCGTTGGAACAGATTTCTGTTTTGTTTAAAAAAAAAAGATATTTTTTTTTTTAAAAAGATATTTCGCTCTGGCATTTCTGAAACCTTCCTTCTCTAGTTTTTAATCCCTCTCCTTTCTTCCCAACTCCTTAAGCAGCAGGATGCAGGTGTGGGGGGAAAATAAAGGAGGAAAAAAAAAAAAACCCAGAATGGGAAGTCTGGATCGCTTTAGAACTCTGTTGGTGGGATATGGATTTCCTATGTAGAAGGTGGGGGTGATGCTCCAGAGGTGAAGATGGAGCAAAATATCAAATGCTTGTGAGGAAGTAATTTCTTAAGCGAAAGGCCGTGTCTTGCATAACACAGCTGTTGGTGGAAGAAGGGAAAGGATCTTTCCCTTCTTTTCAAGAAAAACTGTTTAGAGGGAGAAGAAAGTAGATTGGCCGCATGCTGTGGAGGGACACTAAACATTTAAAGACTGCAGTGAAATCAATGAGCTTTACAGAAATAGTCTTTGGATGGCCCAGCTATTGCAATAGGCAAAATGTTCACAGAGAGCAAATTTTTTTCCCCTTCTGCAATGCGGGACGGAATTAAAAAGATGCTGGAGTTTTCCTGCGTGTTTCTTAGAGGTCAAAAGCCAGCAAATGTCTTTAATGAAGGATTTTGCTTCCTCCTTTGGATAATTCCAATCTTTACAGTATTGATGGTGGTGGTATGGGGGGGAAGGAACCATAGGCTTGTTTACATGGGAACATTTTGCTGCATCAGCTGGCTGTTTCTCCAATGCAGTTTTTCCATCTTCTCGTCTTGTCTTGTTCCGGGTGACTTAGAGCCTTATGAAAGACGGATCTTGCTTATAGTGGTGGGAATGAAGGCAGTGGGGATGGGGTGGGGAATGTGGCTATGGTTAATATTCACTGTATTCTTTTCTCTATGTTTTTTTTTTAATTGAGCAGACCAGATCTGGATTGTTGATTTTGTTCTTCTCATGCAAGGCCATTAAAGGTGGCGGGGGGGGGTAGGGGGCAAGTGCGTTGCTGACAGGGAAGACAGAAAGGGCTTGTGTTGTGCGCAACAAACCTGAGACTAAGGCTTAACAATGGCTGTTTGGAGAATATTCTTGATTTTCTGAAGGGAAGGGGAAGGCACCATGCATGCTTGAATTTGGCAGTTCTTTTCCTCGGCATTTGCTTTTCCCTGTAACATTTCATTTTTGCCCCCCTCCCCTCCCAAGATAGCAACGTGCACCATGTTGCCAGATTAAAATTTCAAAACAAAGGAATGCTAGAGAGAGCTCAAGCTCAACCCTTCTTAGCATATGACATCCCATGAAAGCAAGGGAGACCCGATAACCCTAAATAATATTTGCACATCTTTCTCTTTTCATCTCTTCCCCCCCCCTATTATGAAATGAATGACAGAGATGGTGTGATCTGAGCTGTTAAATTAGGACAGGCTCCTGTACCAGTGTTTTAGAGCATCTAGTTTTTTTTTCTATATGACCTCTTGTTTATTGTTGTCGTGCACAGTGCTGTAATAATATTGGAGAGGGGAATAATTTTGTTATTGGAATACAAGCCACCCTCGTCAATCTCTGCTTCATGCTGACTGTTGGGAAAAACGACAGTTTCCTCTTCTTGTTTGAGATGTGTATAAGGATGTGTTTATAGGGGTGTGTGTGTATGTATGTGTGTGTGTTTTCCATGAGAAAAGCTGTTTATGAAATTCTCCCAGAGGGAATGAGTGTGTGTTTTGCTGGCTTATCTGTAACTGTTATTTAATGGTTTCCTAGCACAGGTCAATCACTTGGATATATAGAGGGGGAGGGGAGAAATGTCAAGGAGATCAAAGGCTTTCATTTCGGCAGGGGAGGTTGCTACCTTACCGAAATGTTTGTATACCTTCAAACCATGATGGAGTTGCAATGGCATTCAGAGGTCATCAACTCAGTATTCTGCCCTGAAAAGGGCTCCATCCGTAGAATAGCACAGAATAATAGGTGCATAGGACAACAAATGCAACAGACAACGTGGTGTTGTGATCAGAAGGCAGATCTTGTCCCAAGGAATTCTGAAATCAAATTCCCTGCTCAGCTAAATCTACAAAATATTTTGTAGAATAAAATGAAATAACGACTATGCCCTGAATACAGAAAAAATAGTGATGCCACATCTGGGCTGCAATAATCTAGATCAGGGGTAGGCAACCTTGGTTCTTTTATAACTCGTGGACTTCAACTCCCAGAATTCCTGAGCCAGCATGAAGTCCACGAGTCATAAAAGAGCCAAGGTTGCCTACCCCTGATCTAGATGATCATTAGATGGTAGCAAAGAGATACAGAAGCTATAATTATTTTCTGCCATCTAGTGAGCTCTGGATTTTAACAGCGAAGGCATCATACAGCTAAGAAAGTAAGTGTATAAATGTAATATATCTCCAGCAAGAATTATCCTCCACACTGACAAATATTTTGTATACTGGAGCTAGTCATTTTCAGTTCCAAGAAAGAAGCAATGGCAAACCACTTCTGAAAAAACTTGCCAAGAAAAATGCAGGGACTTGTCCAGGCAGTCTATGAGAATATGATTGTATGGAAGAAAAAAAAAATCAATGTATTGGTTATTTGAAGGATTAAACAGATTATTGTTAGAATCAAGCCTAAGGGCTCACAGCAGTTAGTGCTGGAGCTAAACAGACCACTTAGGCTCAGAACAATATAATTTCATATATCTGTTTATATAGTATGAATTTAGGCATAAATACTATGATTTGATTTACATATGGTGAGTCACAGCTTGTTTAATAGTGGTTTGTTACAGTGAGCAACTTGGCACAATGCACTAAAATATAAAACTTGGCTGACAATTACAGTAAGATTCACAAAACACGCTAAACTAAAAGCAAGGCAGTTTTACAGTGGTTCTATGCAATGTATGAATTTGGCCTGCATTTATTAGGAAATAAATCTCATTTGATCACAGTGGAACTTGCTTGTTAATAAACATGCATTAGAATGTGTTACAGTTAGCAAGTAGAAACAATCTTTCTTAAAGAATAATTGAGGCTTTGTCTCAAAAATGATTTTTCTAAAAAGGAACTGGACTTAGCTTTTTCCCTTTGGAAATGTTTTTGCTTCTCATCCAAGAAACTTCTTTAGTTCTGGGTATTCCTTAACCTATGACTATTTAACAACAGTTCCAAGTTACGATGGTCTCGCAAAAAATGACTTATGAATCATCCTCAAAGTTATGACTGTTGCATGAGCCCCGTGGTCACATGATTGCATTTCAGCCACTTGGCAACCAGGTTGCAATTATCATGGTTGTCTTGGGGTTTGCAATCTTCCCAGCCAATTCTCAACAAGCAAAATTAATTGGGGAAGCTGGATTCTCTTAGCAACCACGCGATTCACTTGATCACATTATGGACTTAATGACCATGGTAAAAATAATTGTATAATGGGGTAAAAAGAAATCAAGTGATGACTAGATTTACAATGGAAATTGCTGTCCCAATTGTGATCATGAATGGAAGTCTCCATCATGTCAATGAAGAAAATAAGTCAGCGTTTCTTTTCCTAATATATTCTGTATCTGCCTCTTGGACTTTGTGCTTCTCTCTACTGAACAATTTGGCTCAACCCTACAAAAGGGCTGATTTCCCTGATCTAAATAGCTTCTCCTGCTTTCACTTTGAAATCTTAGGAATGATATTCCACAATGAGTGCATCTCTAAGGAACTTGTCTTGGGACGATGTCTATGGAGATTCTCAATCATCCGGGCCATGGTTTTCCTTTATGGTGAGGTGGTCTCTGAAGGTCGTCTACAATACAGTCCTTTCAGCAGTCCCAAAAAGGTTCCACAACCATTTGCACTGATTCAGGTGACCCTGAGGAGACAGATTAAACCCCCCAAATGGCTTCAAAGACTGAGTTTCAGAGGACCAGAGGACCAGATGATTGCATAGAATATAAATCCTTCCATTCTCCACCATTCAGTCAGAACTGAAGGAAGCTTCCTGGATGAGAAGTGAAATGTTTTCAAGGAAAAAACTAAGAAAGTCCAATTGCCTCCTGAAAAGCACCCTTGGGATTTCCAAGACACCATATTGTAAACAATTATGTGCTGTCGGGTAATCTTAACTAAAACCATATTTGCAATAGGGATTCTCTCCCACACGTAGCCTTTACATTATAAAACTCTAACCTGATCAGATAAAGAAGGTATTACTGAATACTTACAAATTGTGAGAAGTAGCAGTTGTGTCCCAAGAGAAGGCAGAACTGAAGAAGCTTCTTGGAGGAGAAGCGAAAGATTTTCAAGGAAAAAAAAACCTCAAGCAAGTCCAGTTACCTTTGGGAAAAGCACCTTTGGGACAACCATGACCCGGATGATTGAGAATCTCCATAGACATCGTCCCAAGACAAGTTCCTTAAAGATGCACTCATTGCGGAATATCGTTCCTAAGATTTCAAAGTGAAAGCAGGAGAAGCTATTTAGATCAGGGAAATCAGCCCTTTTGTAGGGTTGAGCCAAATTGTTCAGTAGAGAGAAGTACAAAGTTCAAGAGGCAGATACAGAATATATTAGGAAAAGAAATGCCGACTTATTTTCTTCATTGACATGATGGAGACTTTTGGCAGTGAGCAAATCTGCTAAAAAAAACCAAGTCAGTTTCGGAGAAAACCTTACTATTCAGTAGTATAACACTGGCTTCCCAGGTTTCAACTCTGACTTGTAAGCTCATAGGACAAGACAGGCAATCCTCAACTTAAAACTG